TACCGAGCGAGCGTTGTGTGTGCGTGCGTGCGTGCGTTGCGTGCGTGCGTGCGTGCGTGCGTGCGTGCGTGCGTTGGTGCGATGGTTCGGAGCTGCTGCTCGCAACCGCTCATTGCGATGCGGTTAAATGCACACCACTTAATAACGCCGAAGACGGCGCGACGTCGCCGCCGCCTCCTCGTCAAATTAGTCTCGTCGTGACGACTGACGCGAGGCTTATACTAACGTGTTTCCTAATGGCCTGGTTAATACATGATATAGCGAGATGGTCAGGGGGAGAGGGAAATTATGGAGTGAGTGATGAAGAGATAGGGAGGGAGAGATGGAGGGAGGTAGGGAGGAAGGGAGTTAGGGAAGGCGGTAGAGAATGAGTGAGAGAGGTCCGAGAAAGAGCGAGAGAGAGACAGAAAGACAGAGAGAGGGGGTGAGAGAGAGAGAGAGAGAGAGAGAGAGAGATAGAAGGCGATGGCGTGCGCGAGCGAGAGAGAGACAGAGAGAGAGAGAGAGAGAGAGAGAGAGAGAGAGAGATGTTGTGTGTGTGAGCGCGCGGACATGACCCTGCAGCGGTGTATGAGCACGACACGCATAGAGCTGAATAACATGTATATTAAATAGTATTTCACATAGATCTCCACAGAGTGCCTTTCTGACTCTTCTCTCTCTCTCTCTCTCTCTCTCTCTCTCTCTCTCTCTCTCTCTCTCTCTCTCTCTCTCTCTCTCTCTCTCTCTCTCTCTCTCTCTCTCTCTCTCTCTCTGTCTTTCTTTCTCTCTCTCTCTCTCTCTCTCTCTCTCTCTCTCTCTCTCTCTCTTCTCTCTCTCTCTTCTCTCTCTCTCTCTCTCTCTCTCTCTCTCTCTCTCTCTCTCTCTCTCTCTCTCTCTCTTTGTCTATCTATCTATTTATTTATCTACCTGTCTATCTATCTATCTATCTATCTATCTAATCTTATCTATCTGTCCGTTCGTCCAGTCCGTCCATCCGTCCTAATCTGTCTATCCTATTACTGCGGTTAATTACGCGCATGAACAAACGGTCGCCATGGGGGGCTCGGTGCAACCACCATGTGACTACTATATTACACGCATTTGCCATCATTCAAATATTAATCATCGCACGCTCCTAGAGGGCCGTAAGCATGGCTTCTATGGCTTGCCGTGGAGGATTAACATGCGAACAGTGCGAGATATGATTTGCGAACGCGCGCACAGCTAACACGACGCTTGTGTAATAGGACAACGGCTAGGCGTAAACACATTAATTCTGCGGCCCTGTAGCGAAGCCATAGGAGCTGCTAATAGCTTAGTACGTATCATCTCATTTCGCGTTCATCAGCATCATGTGAGTAGTCGAGCGTGGGATGTGTGGGATGGTAATCGGAGTATTGAGGTTGATGATGAAAAGCTACATTGAATGTGGATATATGGAATATGTATGTACGCAGAGAAGGCGTGTGCGCGGCGGAGACTTACATGAGAAATGACATATGAAGAGCGGAACACTAGCGACACATAGCGGCCACATCCTCGGAGTGCACGCATACAAAAAACTAGGTGGGTGATCAGTGACGAAGAGTGCCAGACAAGGTCGCATGCATGAGGCTCTCGCTCGCCGAAGTCTAATCCGAATTAAACTCGGTACTCATTTCTACAGTCAGTCTCTTGTTATGTTGTTGCCGACCCGATTACAGAATATGCGTGCGCCATTTTTTTTACTGTGTTGATTATTATTTCCTGCTGGGTCTTCGTGAAACATATATGGTTGCTACAACAAAGTGGGCGCACCAATGTTTCTGTCTCGCTGCAAGCTACGGAGTGGGTAGCTAGCCTTAACTAGTCTAGATCTCCACAGAGTGCTCTCTCTCTCTCTCTCTCTCTTCTCCATCTCATTGCTCTCTCTCTCTCTCTCTCTCTCTCTCGTCTCTCTCTCTCTCTCCTCTCTCTCTCTCGCTCTCTCTCTTCTCTCTCTCTCTCTCTCTCTCTCTCATCGGCTCCTCTCTCTCTCTCTCTCTCTCTCTCTCTCTCTCTCTCTCTCTCTCTCTCTCTGGTCAGCTCTCATGTGCCCCTCTATCTCTTGACGTCGCTATTTCTTTATAAAGCGTTGTCCGTCATGCGATTCACGTAGGTACTTACACATGCCATTTTTTTCCAGTGCCGTCCTATTTTGGCTCCAGAAAATTCCTGTCCAAAATGCGTGTTTGTGGAATCTCTTCTCTCTCTCACAACTCGCTTTCTCTCTCTCGTCTCTTCTCTGCTCTCTGCTCTCTCTCTCTCTCTCTCCTCTCTCTCTCTCTCTCTCTCCTTCCTCTCTCCTCTCTCTCTCTCTCTTCTCTCTCACTATTTATTTATCAGTTATATTATACTGCCTATCTTTATCATCTATCTAATCTATCTATCTATCTATCTATCTTCTATCTCATCTATCTATCGTAAGTATGCCGGTCGGGCTATTTGTGCCGTGTGCGTGTGCATTGAGTCGCTTGTACGTGGCCTATGTGCCGTGCGTCGTACAGCAGCTACTCGACGTAATTGCTTGCATCACTTTGTTACTGGTTAGTACACACTCAACCTCTCGCTTAACTGTAGACTGACACTCACCGTAGTATACATATGCAGTGGAATGGATGGGATGATGGTGGTGGATGATGGATGATGGTGGATTGAGATGGATTAGATGAGGAGGTATGGTGGAGATGATGGATGGATGGAGTTAGGATGATGGATGGATGGATGGATGGAGATGGATGGATGGAATGATAGATGATGGATGATGTGGATGGAGATGGTGATGGATGGATGGATGGCAATGGTATGGATGGGATGGCATGCCCAGATAACGGGTATGGATGGATGGGCAGAGTGTGAAGGATTGGTATGGGATGACATGATGATGATGTGTATGGTATGGTGATGGATGGATGGATGGATGATCGGCTGATGGCATGGATGGATGGTAGGTGGATGGATGGGATGGATGGATGGAGATGGATGGATGGATGGATGGTGGGATGGGATGGCATGGGATGGCATGGATCGGTGATGGATTGGATGCGATGGATGGAGATGTGATGGATGGTATGATGGATGGATGGATTGGATGGATGGATGGATGGATGGATGGATAGATAGATAGATAAATGTACGTACGAGCTTACCTGTATGCGCGTGCCTGCTCAGCTTCTCGCGTCTCTCGTCCGTCATACCACGCGGCGGCTTCGCCAACAGCACACTGCTTTACTGTCCGTCCGGTTGCTATTGTTGCTCTCTCTCCCTCTCTTTCTCTTTCTTTCTTTCTCTCTTTCTCTCGTCGTTATGGCTCGGTGCCACGGATTTGCCACAGGAGTACGGACAGACTACAAGCACTGCGGTGCTCTTGGTGCCAAACACTTGCCGCGGGCTCGGCAGTGGTGTACCGCCGCGGTGACGCGGCGGTCGTCTGCGTGAAGCGACGGCGTTCTACTCCCGAGCGACGCAGTGTCGCCTGCGCACGAACACACTCTCTCTCTCTCTCTTTCTCTCACAAACACACACACAAATAGACTCACGAGTAGTTATTCGTTGGCGCGGTTGGCGTGCGCAACTTCTGTGAACGCCCTATACCACACGCACGCATGCACGCACGCACGTATATGATGGGTACACGCTATCACTCGCGCTGTTAACGTGTGCGTGCACAACTAGCGCGCTCACTCTCTATAGTTTAGAGAGAGTGGGGAAGCTCGTTATGAAGCGATGAGCTGCGTACGCAAGCGCGGTGTTTGCTGTTCACTGGCAGGCGGCTTGCGGCGCGCACACAGTCACACGGCGCGTTGCTGTTGCTATTGGCGACAGCCAATCCAACACCGAGCGGGTGATCACGTGTACAAGCAGACGAGTGTGTCGAGAAGGCATGCAGTTGACGTATGTCGATGTATGTGTATGTGTATCACTATGTGTATGTGTATGTGTATGTGTATGTGTATGTTATTGTATAGTGATATGTGTATGTGTTATTGTATGTGTTAATATGTATGTGTCGCGTGCATGCGTGCGTGCGTGCAATATTATATAGTCACGACGGTTGCGTGCGCAATGGTACTAGTGAGTCTTACACTGCTGTAACGTACGACGGGTTTGTACATTGCCTAGACTCAACACAGTGTACATAAGAGCCTCGACTCCCGTTGCCTGACTGCATGCACAGCGACTGGAGCATAACAACGAGCTTCACAGCATAAAATTAGCGAAACAATCGCCGTGATGAGATTTCTTTTATTCCCCGCACGATGGCAGCACGCACGGACGCGAGCCGGCGTTGATAATGCGTAGCCGTCGCGGTCGCTAATAAACATTTATAGGCGCTCTTCCGCCAGGCACTGCTAAGCTAAGCACTGCAAAGCTAAGCACTGCAAAGCTAGGCACTGCTGAAGCTAAGCTATTATCCGCAGTACGTGAATGGAGGGAGACATCTCTGTTCTCTACGTTGCTATTCGTGTACTTCTGCTATTATCACAACGCTGTGTGTTTAACTTCAAAGGTCAATCAAATTGGGATTAAAGCGGTTTATTGCGACGTTTTTATTATTATTACGGGTAAAAAAACGCGAAGACCACGATCGTGACAACGTTGACAACTTGTCAATCTGAAAATCCACATAACTATTTCGGTTACACCCATATATGGCACTACTATGATGGCTAACTCATTGGTACAGTCACAGAGGCTGAGGGGCACAAACCGGATATCTCAAGAAAACATGCAATAGACAGCAGATTTTTTGTTCGGAACAGAGTTCGTAAGGTTATCTAAGTTACTTAAGTTATTCTAGGTGATCTGTAATTGCAATAACTAGTAGGCTAAACCTAGAAAGGAGTAGTTTGTTATTTCTATTTTTCGTTGTTGACGCAAGCTCGCCCCCCCCCCTCTGTCACCGTACTACATATACCACATTAACATTTCATTCCATTTATCAATATAAATATATTGATATCAAATATATTTATTCCAAAGTTCAAAACATATTCAGGATGTATTTTTACGTGTACATTATTAATTGCTACATTGTCGTATCAATTGTAATTTAATCATTGGCTTTCTATCTTTTCTGAAAGATAACGATTGAATCACGCACACACAAAAATATGGCACTCTTCGACAGACAGCCTGCTGCCACCTGGTGTTAGAAATGTAAAATTGTTCCAGCACACCGCGACTGTTTCGCCTCCATCGCAATGCAAACCGAAGACATTAAATCCTTTCTGATGTGGATGACGGTTTCTCCCACTTAGCTCACTTTAATCACTGAACAGGGATACCGATCAGTTCACATAACAGTAGACCTTGCTGCCGTCCTGTGGCGCATCTAGATAGCTTCGATTGGAGGTTAGAACTTGGTCACCACCTCTGTGTCGTCGTAGGCTAGGTTCACCTCACCTTTCGTGTTGTCCACGTCAGCCACGCGATTCTTCGCATAGCCACTACGCTTCCTATCGGCTTCGTCGGTGTGAGGCGACGTCTCGGTAGGGTAGACGACATAGATGATGCAGAGCGAGCCGAAGATGGCGATGACGACAGCTGCCGCTATGCTGCCTATCGTCACCTGAGTCATTTGCTGGTCGTGCAACTCATCGCTGGTGAGAACCTGAAACACTAGGGGGCATGACGAACGCGGCCACGTGTGCTACTACTGTTACTACCTACAACACCAGGTGGCGTGCGTTGCAGGATCTCGTGCGATCACATGTGAGTGCTTACAACACCAGGTGGCGTGAATCGCAGGACCACACGTGATTATACGTGACAATATATAAAACCATAGGGCGTGCATTGGCTATCATATCTACATCTATATTCGTATGTTGCTGCCTGCAATAGATTCTCAAAGCTACGATTATTTTATTGACGTCAGTTGTAGTGACAACCCGTGGTGCTCTGTAACCCATGATTATGTTCACACTATTGCTGTAAATCAAAGGGAAGTTATCGTAAATAAATACATTGAATGTTGCAATTATTGTATCCCCCGAACGAAGTTCGTGGGGATACTATGGGTTTGGCATCGTCGCGCCGCCGCCGCCGCCGCAGAGATTTCCTTGTGAACGCTCTACGGCTGCAGATCTTCTCGGATCATCTTCAAATTTCGCATGAAGGTGCTTATCGTAAAGCGAAGATGCCTATCGTTGTTGGTGTGGCGGAGTCATCGTTGCCATGGTAACAATATTTTTTGTCGAAATATTTCGAGAACCTGTAACTTCTGCACTTTTTACCTGATTGTCAATGAAATTTATATTTGTATTAAAATTATATATTAAATTTATATTAAAATTTAAGTTTAAAAATTTAAAAATAAAAATTCAAATTTAAAATAAAATTTTAATTTAATATTTGTATTAAAATTTGCATTTAAATTTATATTTAAATTTATGATTTGTATCAAATATATATATATACATCAAGAGCGATAATACCTAGAGTGTGCAACGGAAAAACGGGAAAATATGTGATTTCACGACTACATTATTCTACTTTGCCTGCGAGTCTAGAATAATTTCATTGTATTGCATTAAGCAGAATTCTTTGTTCTCTAAAACAAGACCAACCGCTTGTCAATACGATACTCCTAGGCGGAGATATCGGCTCCTAAACCTCCCCTCCCACATGCCAAACGCCACCTCGAATCCACTTCTGCCACCATCCTACACGCGGCTAAGCGTTGCTTCGTGAAAGTTCGGTTTTTCGCCGATAAATTTATGATGGACGGCGCTTCGGTTAATCATAGGTACATTCGGGGGCATCGCCTATGCCCTTATCTTCCATTATCTTTCCTAGCACGCTAACGCCCGTCATGATGGAGCCGGCGGCTCCATCAAGGTTTTCACAACGCAGCCTCAGTTACTTAAGTGTAGTAACAGTACCAAATTTGGCATATGACATCAATATCAGCGCTCCAAGTGGTGACGGAAACCGCATAGCCAAAATGCTTACCCGCGTGTAGGATGGTGGCAGAAGTGGATTGCGAGGGTTGGCGTTGGCATGTGGACGGGAGGTTTAGGAGCCGAATCTCCGCCTAGGAGTATCGTATTGACAAGCGGTTGGTCTTGTTTTAGAGAGCAAGAATTCTGCTTAATGCAATCCATGAAATTATTCTAGACGTCGCAGGCAAAGTAGAATAATGTAGTCGTGAAATAGCACTATTTTCCGTTTTTCCGTTGTACACTCTAGGTATTATCCGCTCTTGATATACATATATATATATAGGACATGTTATATCGGACCTGTGTGCAAATTCCATGACATCGGGTAAAAACAGCACAAGTTACAGGTTCTACAATATTTCCACAAAAATGTTGTTACCATGGCAACGATGACTCCGCCCACACAAAACGATTGGCGTCTTCGCTTTACCATAACGCACCTTCATGCCAAATTTGAAGATAATCCGAGATCGGGTAAAAACTGCCCACCAGGTCACTGCGACCTTTATTTCACCTTTACCTTGACCTTGATCATATTTCTTTTCCGCTCTCTAACTCAGCCCCTAATTGACCTAGCGCGACCAAACTTGGTATGCTTACACATCTTGGGAGAAGGTCTGTCGCATACAAAACCACCACTCCCTTGACCTTAGTTTGATCTTTACCGTCGACTTACATTTCCTCTTCGGCCTCCTAGGGTAACCAGATTCCATATACTTGCACATCTGAGGCACACCATTTGTCTAACAAACCTTGTGTCTTTGTGACTTATTTAACTTTACCTGCCTTCTACGTCCTTACAGAGATATTCCATTCATACTAGATCACGGCGGATACATGTAGTTGGCGACAACTGCTCATTTCTAGTTATTTGTGGATCAAGCATATACATTTCGTGTACAATTTTACAGGACGCGGCTGTCCCTTGAATACTATTTCCACGTAGTATATGTTGTGTTATACCCTATGGCAGCTTTCGCGTAAATATACACGCACACACATACACACGCATCACACACGCGAGCGCGCACACCCGCACACACACACAAACACATACACACACACGCACACACACACGCACACAAACACACACACACACACACACACACACACACACACACACACACACAAACACACACACATACACACACAATCATATATATATATACGCACGTACATAAAGACACGCACGCACGTACGCACGCACTTCCACACACATACACAGGCGCACACACACGCATACTAAAGAAATCGATTTGTATCGATAATTTGTATCTATGTTAAGTCGTACCTTCTTGAGTAGCGCCTTAGAGTAGAGTGTCTCAGTGTCATTAATCACTATACAGAGGTACCAAGCAAAGTCCTCCTTCTTGATTTCCGTTATAAGAAGGTCCCCGCTGTCGACTATTTTCTGCAAGGAAGAGCAATTGCGCTACGTGATCGTATGCCGTAAGCTCATCGCGTGTGATTTCCTCATTGTACTGTCGCTATTGTCGACACTCACCGAGGGCAATAACATATCGTAGGCTATCCAGTGATCAGCAATATATTGATCATCTTAATCAGTGATATCGATTGTTCATCGATCAGCGATATCCTCATTCATGTTTATCGTTCATCAATCGGCGACATGGTCATTTATTTAGATTGTTCATCGATCGGTGAGATAATCATTTATGTTGATCGTTTATTAATCAGCGATATAATCGTTAGTGTTGATCATCCATTGATCAGCAATTATCGATGAGTAATATATTGATTAGCAGTCATCGATAAGTAATATATTGATCATCTTGATAATTATGTTGATTTCTCGTCAATCAGTAATACATTGACCAGCTTGATGATTGTATTGATCTTTCATTGATCACCGGTGTGTAGGCCGTCCTAATCAATATGTTGATTGATGAACTTACCTTGTTATCGAGTTCCGTGGTGTTCTCATTCAAAGTCCTGCCGTCGGGTAGCTGCCACGTGATGTCTTCGGCGCTGACCGTTATGTTTTGCGCCTCTAGGTCTGCGATAAGAATGCAGGGTAGCGTCTCGTTGTGACCAACGTAGCTGTAAAAACGCATAAATTAGACACATCGACACATACGAGAGCACGCGCGCACGCAGACGCACACTACAGCCATTATATAATATAAGATGTAAACATGCACGTACGCACATGACGATGAAGAAGAAGAAGTAAAACTAGAAAGTAAAACTGCAAACTAAGCCTAATCATAAAACTATTAATAAAAACTAGTTATTTTTGTGTAATATTAATGTCTATTTAAGTTACTTCATTAGTGCCTTTTTACACATTCTCAGTAAATGTGTGTGTGCGCGCGCGCGTGTGTGTGTTAGTATGGAAGGCCATTACCGCCAAAACCTACCTATTTTAATCACGCTTAAAATGTATTTTAAGCGCGATTAAATTCCAGCCAATCAAAACAGTGGTTTTTAATCGCGATTAAAATAGATTTTAAGCGCGATTAAAAACCACTGTTCTGATTGGCTGGAATTCATTCGCGTTTAAAATAGATTTTAAGCGCGATTAAAATAGGTAGGTTTGTGTGTGTGTGTGTGTGTGTGTGTGTGTGTGTGTGTGTGTGTGTGCGTGCATGTGTGACCACACTGAACAACCCTATATCTATCACAGCGTATAACTAAACACCTCTACCACACCGTACGACCGCACACTCACACCACACCGCACGACTCTACCAGATTATACAACTAGATATCTACCACCAGCCTTAACAGAGCTGCAGCACAATTACCACCGGGGTCATAGTTAACGCTAGGCCATCGCGGCATCCACTATAGCAGTATCTATAGCTGCATCCACTATAGCAGTATCTATAG